TGGACCCCTACGCTGACCAGGAGCCACGGTCCACGTGGACCCCTACGCTGACCAGGAGCCACGGTCCACGTGGACCCCTACGCTGACCAGGAGCCCTGATGGCACAGTGCTAAGTGCTCAGCTGGGCACCCGAAGGTCACGGCTGGAGCGCCGCCAGCAGCTCCATGATCTGCTCCCATAAAGATGACAGCCTCTCTTCAGTGCCACTGAGCCCGGGACTGCAGGGACTGGAGCCTGCACTCACAGGGCACGCAGACCACGTCCCTGCCCACGGGGCCTAGCATCCACGCACTGGAATGTCTGTTTACTACTCGCTGCCAACCAAACCCAATCAGAGTCACTATGACATAAGAAATTCCAAGTCCGCTTTTCAGGGGACATGTGTGGCTAGTGAGGACACCTTTCAGTGCGCCCCTCGCGGTCCATGCCTGGCCCTCTCTAAAACGCATGGCCCTTCCACATTTTCCTTAAGGCTCAATGTTTGCAAAGTCCAAGAGTGAAAAGTGCCCATCATTTTCACGACAACACTTGTGGTTGTCTACTGCCTGCTGCCCTGACCGCATTTACGGGGTGCACTCCCGGTGGTCTGCAGGGGTAAGGCTTCAGAGCCGACCGGAGGGCGCCGTGACGCGTGGCGCGGATACGGCCCTCACCTTGATGTTGCAGGCCACAGCCTTGCCGTCCTCGCCCTTGAACATGAGCTTCATGCCGCGCAGGGCGCTCATGGCCTTGATGAAGCCCGCGTACTCGCGGTACTGCACGTAGGCTTCAAAGTTCAGGTGGCCTCCGAAGCTGAAAGTGTGGAAGTTACGGCCAGTCATCTCCTCCCGGTATGGGTCCAGCATGGGGATGTCCACGTTGCGGATCTCCCCAAACTTCTCAAAGACCCTCACCAGCACCTCCTCGCTGGGCTTCTCGGAGCCCGACTCCTTCCGGGCAAACCACTTGCAGGGCAGCCCCTCCAGGTGGATGGTGTCCGGCCGCTCACCCGGCAGGGTCTCGTTCATGTCCTTGGCGTCGCGGAAGAAGGAGTCCCAGTCGTGGCGCGTGGGGAAGTCGATCTTGAACTCGGCGGCGCGCACCTTCAGGATGTCCGAGAAGCCGCTGAGCTTGATGGTCTTGCCGTCCAGGCAGGCCAGGAAGGACTTGACCAGGCTCTTGTTCTCCACCTCGCCCTCGAAGCGGATGAAGTCCATGGTGCTCTTGGCGATGCGCAGCGTGGAGAACTGGTGGCTGTGCACCATGCCCTTGAGCCGCTCCATCACCTCCCAGTTGGAGATGGACTTGCCCGGCTGCTTCAGCTGCGGCAGGGCCACGCTGATGGTCATCTTGGTGATGGGCTTGAGGTACAGGCCGTGCGGGGGGCACAGCTCCACCGCCTCAGACGTGTCGTGCACGATGGTAGCCGCGGCCATCGCCGGAGCGCAGGGCCTGAAACACAGAGCACGGGGAGTCAGGGCGCGGAGATGGGGCCTGGGGTCCCTGTGCCAGCTGGCACCTCAGAGCTGGGAGAGGACATGGTCGCAGAAACCGGTCTGTACCTCGTGAGACACCAGACTCAACCGAGTGTGGCAAAGTCAGTACCAGAAGCCCAAGGAGGCCTGTGGCAGGCAGGTTCAAGGCTCAGCCATCAAATGAAGGCTGGCCTCGGGAACCCACCCAGAGGGACTGCAGGAGGAACACCCAGAACTCTGCTCCCATGAGCCGGACAGCCCGGAAGACCCCACAGGGCGATCCCCTCCGGCTCCGGGGGGCACCGTGAGTCAGAATCAACCCGACTGCACCCCAGAACTGGGGACATGGGGGTTCAGTGGTAGAAATCTCACTTACCAAGCAAGAGAACAGAGCCCTGGTGGTGCCACAGCAAAGCACTCAGTTGCTAAACAAAACGTCGGCTGTCTGAACCCAGACAGCAGACAGACCTGCGAATCTCCTCCCGCAAAGACTGCAGCCTCGGTGACGCTACAGGGCCGTTCTGCTGTCACCTGGCCTCACTGGGCGTCGGAATGGACGCCAGAACCCCAACGAGAACAGATTCAAAAAGAGGAAACACACTCTGTGGACAAGCTTCCAGGCCCCCGCCGCATCCTAGCAGGGGTCCCCTGGGGCCTGTGGGAACAGGATGCCCGGGAAGACCCTGCCCTGCCCGCAGCAGAGAGGAGCCAGAAACTGCCGGGGCTCCCCGGGAGGGTGCTGGGGGCAGGGAGCTCAGCTCTGGGCCTCTGCAAAGAGGAGGAGGTGGGGACCCTGTATTCGCGTTGAAGAAACAGGAAGGAAGTTCGAGGCTGGACACATTGCATCCCTTGACTGCAGGCAGCTGGAGCTTCTCTCTGCCCCACCTGGACTCAAAAGCCGAAGGGCCCGTCCTAAACCCCAGGCTGAGGGCCCCACCTGTCTCTGCAAGCGCCCTCCCTCCACCTCCACCAATCCTCTGCCCACTGGTCCTTCCGGGAAGCCAAGGCCAGCCAGGCCAGCTGGCTGCCAAGGAGGACCCCAAACAACACAGGGGGTCCCGCTGGGTGCTGCAGGGGGCCCCACCACTCCTGGGTGCCTGGGAGGCATGGTCTGAGCAGGGTGGAGAGCTACGGGGGTGAATCGGGGTGCCCGAGGAGGCGCCCCAGCTCTGTTAGCCCAGTGATCCCCCAAAAACTGCAGGCAGCATCTGAGCAAGCCTATGGCTTTCCAGGTAACCCAAGCTGTCGCTGGAGTCCCGGACAATCCCCTGGACCCACTGCCCTAGGGGGTCCCCAGCACTCTGGTCGCCTTAAGGATGCACAGTCGCCCGGTGTCACCCTAGTAACCCCAGCCCTCATGGTCCCCCTGCCCTTCTCTTATTGGTCACCCCACCCCACCCTCAGCCCCGGCACCTCCGTCACCCCATTACCCGGCGGCCCCCAGCACCCACGGCTGCCACGCACCCGCACCCCACTTCTGCTGTCTCCTTCGGAGCCCGGGCACCCCGAAGCTTGCTCCAGCCTGGGCCGTCCTCTGCCGGTCACACACCCCGCACCCCAGCCCTCCCGTGGAGTCACACCCCTCGCGTTGATGCCCCCCGGCCTCGGCCGCTCCCCCAGGCACCCCGGCTCCTCGTCCCGACACCTCCACCGTGTCTGACCGCTCACCTCCCTCGGCCCCCAGCACCTCGACCCCCCGACCCCCCGGCTAAGCCTTACCGACC